AATAGCTCGGCCTAATAGATGTTTTTTCTACGCAACGAAAACGATCCATTTCTTGATCACAGGCAGCACACCAGTCAGAGGTGACCATCGATGAACACGGCCACTGGTTCGATACCACCACCCGAGTTAGCAACTCATCAATGGCTTCGGACTTGTGAATTTGTACCAGTCTTCACTGGGTAAATAGTGAAGAAGCTCTTCTGACACATCGGCAGTTTTTAAGAAGTCGTTGTATGAGCTAAATATCATTTCGATCACAACTTAGCACTTAGGCTTCGAAGAGGGTTCTTCTCAAAGTGTAAATGCTATCCATGAACGAGAATCATTGAAGGATTGATCATTTGCTTTCATTTTTGATATGCGAGCTTCGCAGAAAAGAAAAAGTGCTGGGTTGCAAAAAAAAATTAGTTTTATGTGGGTAAACCAAAGTTCTTGTATGTTTTGCTGCATATTTTAATGAGCTATATTTCAATTTATAGGGTTTAATTTGACCTGAGATCTGATGAAAAAGGCAGTTATTTTTCATTATTTGAGGGGATACCGATTCATTTCGAGTTCTAAGCACTAACGGAATCGAATTCATTCGCATCCACAGGAAACTGGTAAAGTTAAACTCTTTATTTCTATCCCTTCTTGGCGAAATTCTGATGTGTGACGAGAATTGAATTCTCTATGACAACCGATGACGTTTTAGTCGGTGGTTGGACAAAGTTGAAGCATTGGAACAGTCCACGGAAAGAAAATTACCAAAACTTAATGAAATCTCTAAAGTGAATTCAGAGCGTAGCTCATAGCCCATAAGATTGGTAATGATCACTCGAGACTTAGATACCAACGTCCCACCAAGCATCAAGCGAGCATCTCTGTAAACTTCGAAAGAATTGGGACGGACGGAAATCCACCTTGCTCAACACTAGCTGACTAAAGTCTCTGGCTAACCGATTACTACTCTTGTCAGCCAAAAGGTTTATATTTTAATGTTTCTATAATGATTAATACTTATGTTCTGATTTTCTTCTGACGATTAGTGAAGTTCACTCTGAGCTGAAATAAATTCGGGCCACTAGATTGTTCCTGATCAATTTGGCAAATCGAAAGGATAGCTGTGGTCTAAGAAAGATTGTAAACATGGGGCAGCATGCTCGACGAAATCTACAGGAGTTAGAGCCTATAGTCAAGATCTGAAGGCGTTCTGAATTAAAACTCTTGGAATTCCTTGGAAATTTGCGCTTCGCCCTTATCTAAAATGTTAATAAATATAAAAGTTCACAGATCGACCACAATCCAAAATTTCAAAGAAAAAAAAACGGCAAGTCCGTATATCGCGGCCTGGCCAAACTTGAACACAATACGAACCAGCTCCATAGACTGCAGTGACAATGGAGCTAGGAGCTTCCTGAAAGTGCACAAATTGTAATGAGCGCCTATTCAATCTCATCGCAGTCCAATACTATAATATTCCCCCACGCCGAAAGAGCTGTAAATAATCAGAAAAAGCAAAAAAAATAGAGATAAAATGCGTACATGGACAGTAAACAATATTGGCAGCCACAGTAAAAACCTGCACAGTTGATTACAACCACGACGTCGCTGAGATATTTGCAAAACCCTGAACCGCACGTGTCTATGGGGAACGAACGCGCTATTTTCCTTACCGGGGAGTAGCGCACTTCACCACCACACCATGCTGGTCCTTCGTTTCGCCTGTCTCTCAGCCAGTTCTATTGATCAGCGCCATCGGCAATCACCCATCAACGGGACTGATCTGGGAAGCCCACATTGGCATTGAATCCAGTTAAGCTGAGGCTGTAGTTGAAATCACAATGTTTTACCTTTTATTATTTTATTATTTTACCTACTTTACACCTGCGGTCCAGAGGTTTGCAGATATCTCAGCAACGTTGTGGTTGTATTTCGCTTAGCACCCTGCCGTGAAAATTGTAGTAGGCAGAAAATAAAAGGTAAAACCTGCACAGTTAGTCAAGGCCCCAGTGATCCGTGGTTGAGCCGCCTTTTCCGCTCACCACCAATAGCAGTTTCCGTAGCATTTTACGTGTGGAGGAAACGCTGATGTCGTTGTGAAGCCCGTGGAATCGTGCAAGCTTCCCCAAAAATTCTTGTTGATCATGGTTCTCTCTTTTTCCGTTTTTTTTCTGGTCATCATGTTTCTCTTGATTAAGGAAATAGCCATTTTCGTCCAATGCCTGGTGCAACATGTTGGGAAATCTGTTGATTGAGGAAGGAAGGATTCAAAATCTATTATACTGCCTCAATTTTGACATTATTCCCCTTAAAAACTTAAATCGATTCTTCCTCCAATGTAATGCATTTAAAGGTGATTAAAACAGGCTCTGTACGAAAAATCACAAAGACCAAGAGATATGCATGACTGGGTACCCAGGTGTCACAAATTTACTAAAAAATGAAAATTGTATGATAATTGGAATGGTCTTTTGCTGAGCCGAATAGTTTCCCATCGTCTTCACGAACATCTAGCTACCACACATTCCTCAATACGATTCTCAGTTTTCTTTACTTTGTCATAGTACAGCTTGTTGTGGCCTTGGACTTTCTTCGACATCTTCCTTCTAGAATTTGAGTTTGCAACATTTTTTAAAGTTCTACTTTTTCTGGCTTTATCGATGTTTCCTTAAGAATTCCTGAATTTAAAGACGAATTAGCTTAGTGTTCGGTTCCGTAAGCCTTCACTACCCTACTTCGAGGTTGAGTCATGGTCAAAAAACCTAATCTAACGGTTTCCTAAATGTTTTCAAAGTTTTCTTCGCCGTCTTCTCATTCTTTCAACTTTCAAGCTGTTTTTTTGTAGCAAATTTTTATGCGAGGATTTCTAGGCCAATTAGAAAGAAGTCGGTAGTTAAACATTTGCTTCTTTTCCTGTAGCTTCTGTGGAATATCGCATATGTCAGTGAGTTCTCGTTCGATTCCACCAAATCGAAAACTTTTTAATAAACAAAGGAAGAATAAAACAAAAAAAAACAATTTGCTATCGATTATGTTCTGTAAAAATCAAAGCCGACAGCTGTTACTTAATTTAATCCTAGGTGGAACTACGCGCCAATATGATTTTTTGGAACACCTTGACAGGTCTATGATGATCAACACGACCGGAAACGCTTTGATTCCAGACTTAACCTGGATAGATCCTCTAGGAAATCTCGTTCTTCCATCAAAACCCGTCAAATTATTAACTCTTGTGAAATTCAATCTTTATGATATAGCTGCATGGATTAATTTTGCTCGACTAATGGATAAATTGGTATCTTTTGACAGCCAGAAATTATGTATTCCAAATTCAAATGTCCAACAATTTTCTTAAAGGTGCGTGTGGCGCAGCGGTCGGAGGTGTCTTGCGACACACACATGAGGTCGACCACCCACACCAGTAGTTCACCAAGCATTCCATCCCTCCGGGTTCGGTAAATTGGTACCAGACTTGTCTGGGAGAATAGCAGCACTGGCTCTATACATCGGTAGGCCACCAAGAATCATTGTAAAGGCCAAGTATGCATTGAATCACCTTCAACGGTACTTAATGAAGTCGAATGCATAGCGCATCCCTCAGGGATTGATCAATGCCGAGAGTTTTATCATTTATCCTTTTAACATTATTCCTAATAATATTCTAACATGTCAAACATTTTCTTCTTGAATAGGTATATCATGCTGATTACTTAATTTCAGTAGTAAACGAAAAAGCCAAAATACAAAAAGTCAATATTCATTTGAGTCGTATATTCTCTATTTACCGTAGACAGCCATTACAGACGACAATATAGCTTAGTAAAGTTTTCTTTCAGTTAGTTCTTCTTACTCTCAGCTTGCAAGCTTTTTGTAAAACAAAGAACTTCATCCGAATTACCTTCGACAGCAAATCTTCATCATTTTTCTTCCCCCTGATCAAAAGCAGTGTAATCACTCATTAATGTTGTCTTTTATTAGAATATAACGAAGGCATGATGATTAGCAGTCAGAGGGAGTGATGCGGTCAAAACCGCTGTGCATTAGAGCCATATTGATCGCCTTTATGGTAAGAGTCGGTAAGAAAAATGTTTTCTTCTATAATCGTCTTATTACAAACTAAACTTTATATTCAACACTTAAACCACAACACGCTACCACAAATCGTGCGGGACACAACACTCACTTTCTTTTAGTGGTATTTTATTTCTTAAGGAAAGACATTTTTGGTCGAATCCTGGGAAATATGTGCCAGGGCGTAATCAGGTCTCTCCTGAAGGGCACACGTCATCAGCAATCAAGAGTCGGAGAGCGTTTTTATCGCAATGCCTTAAGTTTCCTCACAGTAGTTGCTACGGCTCCCACAATATGCTTTTCTTCATTCCACTTTATTCCTTGTTGGAAATAGAAAGAAACATTCCCTCAACAAAATGCAGATGGTAGTGGTGCATTGGAAGAGTGCAGTTTACTATTATCTTACTTGGATACTTGGCCGGCCCGTTCTCACTGGTTGTGAGAGCACCAGCATAATCTTCATTTTCCGGTGTTTTGCTGGTTTAGCCATTGTATTTCCTTGGAGTCCCGAGCTCAGCCTGGCCAAAGCCTGCCCCAGATCGTCGCCACCATAGGCAGTCGCTTCTTCGGAGCTTTGCTGGTTTAGCCATTCTATTTCCTTTGAGTCCCGACTCAGTCTAGCCAAAGTTTGCCGCCATCGCCGCCATAGTGAATTGTGGTTCATAGAGAGATTTCCCACCATGCAGTTAGTGTCATAGCACTACGGTGGTGGATCTTGATATTGATTTACACTTATGGGGTTCCTAATGGGAGCGCCGCACTCCTTCTCAGCTTGGGAGACCATGCCGTGGGGATGAATGCCCCCGGTGTACATCGGTACATCGCAGCCAGACAACCAGGAATACATCCCAGCCACGATGAGGCGGCAAACCGTTGGGAGGGCATCGGGGGTTGTAAATATTGAATCTAGTTGCTTAGTTTTGTAATGAAGTCAATGAAATTCAGTGTTCGCCTCCGATGATGAAGAGCGTCTTATGATGGATGTGTTCCGTGGTTATAATTCACTTATTCAGGTGAGCTGTCTTCTTTCCTCGTATGAATAAGAAATGCATGTCAAATGATACCAATCGACCTTCATTGCAGCCAGTTAAGAATATCAGTGACACACCTGTTATTGTTAAAGTTGCTTTACAACTTGCTCTACTCATTAATGTTGTAAGTGCGCTGTTTCATTTTTTTTATTCGAAACTGTTTAAATTATAACGGGCGGATTTATCGTGGAAAACCACTAAAACTCATAGATATCGATTGATAGCTCTGTTTTTCAAAGGAAAACAAAGTAGTTTTGTCGATATATAGTGACATCTATGCTCTTCGTTCTTTGCTAACATGTATAGAAACAGAGGAAGTACAGTGGTCATGGATATCGCACAGTAAATACATCGTCCCTGATTTAACCACAAACCGGGCGAACATCCACTTACATCCAGCTGGATTGGAAAATTGGCAACAGTCTCGCTTTTTCTAGTTCTTTGTTCTCTTTCTCATCCATAAGGCTCGCATTCCTAGTGCTGAAGATCTGGAACAGCTGTGAACAGTAAGCGGGACAATCTCAGGATTCCAAGGCAAATATATTCTGCTAGTATCCAACTACATTCGTAAGAAAGGCAGAGCCTTCAGGTAACAGCCAAAAATTAAGGGGCAAAACTCTCGGCGCTGATCAATCTTTGAGGGATGCGCCATGCATTCGACTTTATTATGAGTTGTTTGGTGTGACTTAATGCATATCTGACCTTTACAGCAACGTGCTGGCCTAACGATGTATCGAGCCAGTGCTGCTATTCTTCCAGACAAGTATGGTACCAATTTACCGATTCCAGAGCGATGAAGACCTTGGTGAGCCTGTGACGCGAGGATCGATCCCATGTGTATTGCAGAGCGCCTTCAAGCACCGCGCTACGCGCCCTTATTCACGCTATACAGTCTAAATATTTTCCACTGCTCCAGTTACCCCTGTCTTAGTGAGGTTGCGAGCGTGATTAACGTTCCAGAGGAAGCCGCTAGGGGGCCTTCAAGAGCACTGAAGATGTAGTGAAAATAACAAAGAACACCCGATTCCGCGTCCATGTTTTCGACTTCAGTATTCTCGCTGCTTTATAAAACCTGGTCTCTGCGTGGGCGTCAGTAAAGATTACTAGTGTTGCCAAACGCGCTGTCGAAAGGACAATGCCACTCCTAGATAGAGGGTCTCTGAAGCCTCCCACCTACGTCAACGATCGAAGAATGAAGACGTTGTTCTACACTCAAAATTATCAAAGACGAGATGGTTGGGGCATGTAAGGAGAAAGATATGATGACGCCCAGCGAATTTTCACAACGGAACCTTGGTCTACTCTTGACCCCGACAGGAAGAAATTGATTTATTGGCACCCGCTCGACATACTCGATAATCAACTGGACGACATTTGATACTTAAGTATTTCAGTGGGCTATCTTCACGGAAGGCCAAGAATTAAACGTATGCAAGAGGAAATATGACTTAACTGGTAATCTGTTCCTTGGTCGAGGTTTGCTTTCCCTGTAGTCTAGAGCTTTTTATGGTAGGAATATCCCAAGTTTTCATTACTTGCCGGCCGGTAACCGTATTTTTAGAACTGTTGAAGTGATTGCTGACAGTGGTTTCTCTTAACCAAGCACATGGATGGCAATCTCTAATTATTGCTCATATTCTATAGTAATGTTGAATTTCATTCGCTGTTTCATAAAATCTCGGGTTCATCAATAAAAATCTTCCCAACGGCTTACTGCCTCATCGTGGCTGCTAGCTATTTCGGGGGTGTCGGATTGCGATGTACAGAGAGGTGATTAGTACCCTGGCATGGTCTCCCAAGCTGTGAGGGACTGCTGCGTTTCCATCAGGAAGCCTAACTAAGAGTAAACCAAAACCAGAATCTACCGCCGTCCTGGTATTGAAGTCGCATGGTGGCGAAACTCCCTCTGATCCACAACAGCTACGGCTGGCTGCCTGTGGTGGTGAAGACCTAGGGGAGACCTCGGATTTCCAGAAAACCATAATGGCCTAACCAGCAAATCTCCAAAAAATGATGATTATGCTGGGCCCGGCACAACCAGTGAGGACGGGCCGTTCAAGTGTTAAGTATCAAGTATCAAGTAAATTTCATAAAATCGCGACTGCTTTTATTCTACATAAATTTTTCGACGAATCTGTTGGAACATAAATCACCACACAAGATAATTATCGAACAACTACCAGCGTGCGTACAGGGAGACAACAGAGAGAGGAGTACCGGAACTTGGCACGGAAAATAGCCATTTTTAATGGCTACGAAACCGTAGCTCCAGATAAGTGTAGAGGAAACCACAGGTACCCCAACGATAACTCTAGCGACAACAAGGTCCCGTTTATACTGCTCTTTATTTCAAATGAAGTAAGTGCGGCTATGAAACGCTGTCTAAGAAGGGCCAGTCTAGAGCATTCGGTAACGATAATCGAAATACCACCGAATAATCTAAGGCGCCAGCTTGTTCGTGACCGCCTATACGACCGTCTATGTGCAACGCAAAATTGCATAATTTGCTCCAGTGGTAGAGACGGTGACTGCATGAGTTCGGGTACAGTCTATCTGATCTGTTGTAAAGCGTGCGGGGGCGAATACGTTGGCGAAACGGGTAGGCCACTCTGCGTACGTATAAAAGAACACCTAGTCGGTAAACGTAAGCTAAGTACTCCACTAGGTACGCATAGCACGCAGAAACATAACGGAGAAGATTTTGAAGTAAGGGTTACGATCCTCGCGCAAGAATCGAGAACACATGCGCGCAAAACTCTAGAGGCATTCTGGATAAATTCCAAGAAACCGAAAATGAACCGCAGGGAGGAATGCCTCGTTATCACGCGTGATATTGGACAGTATATAAACCTGTTATTCTGATGGGTAGAGGCACATTACGTTTCCATGTGAATTCTGTGCGGTCGGTCTTCACGCGACATACTCAGTGGAAGACTCATAGAAAGCGGTGAGTGTGCAGAGCCATGCTAAATGTGATTGAAATCTTGGTTTAGCGTTTTCTCTGTTTGGTTATGGAGGTGTTTGGCTGAGTGGATTGCTGTCAACTTGACCTTTCCAGGCTCTGAGGAAAGCGAAATCCGCCGAAACGTCAGCTCGTGCGTAAATAAAGAAATAAAATAGCACCTCGTGTTTGCTGAACAGAAGTAGAAAGATATATACAAGATAATTAGTTGATGTTAGGCTAATTTTGGCCTTCCGCTTTACCGTTGCGCAACGAATGCGATTGACAAAAGGAAGGCGTGACTGAATAAATTGTCTCGAGCAGTGGTTTCAGTTCAGGACCATATAGTCCCAAATTAGAGCCTCACTACGGGTTATTTTCGAATGGCCATTGAGATAGTCAATGATATAAAAGAGAAAGCAGCAATCCTGAATAATTTCAGGACGAGAAGGATCAAATAATGCACACAAATGTCTGGTTGACGTTGGTATGTAGACTGCTGATATTTCAACTACGATTTTAACGATTCGCCTCAGTTGCTCGTATACCGATCTATCGATCTTCAGAAATGGCATGACTTCCAAATGCGTTGGAATCCGGTGAATTACGGTGAAATCAAAGAGATACGAGTGTCACCTGATAAAGTTTGGCTGCCAGATATCGTTCTCTTCAACAAGTATGGTGTATATCATATTCTTCCGTTTATTATTTTTGCTAAATTAGTTTTCATTTTCCGAATGCAAAGGCTTTGAAGTTAAATAGATTATTTGGTGTTTGTCCTACCAGACGTGGATAATTTATTTCTTTTTTAAGCGCCGATGGGAACTATGAAGTTTCATTTATGTGTAACGTTGTCATAAATTATCTTGGCGATATGCTTTGGGTACCACCGGCACTCTATAAAAGTTCTTGTATTATAGGTGAGGTGCTTCTTAACCTTAAAAGCGCTGCTAATCGATAAATTGATTGATTGCGCAGCTGTTTTAGACGTGGAGTTTTTTCCGTTTGATGAACAAGTGTGCACATTAATGTTCGGCTCGTGGACTGTGAGTTACCAGAAATTCTATACTTCCTTAATTTTTAGTTTTAGTTATTTTGCTCTGCATTATGTTTACAAAACTTTAACGGCATATTTTTATTTTCATTTTGTTTTACATGATGCGTCAACACATCTACTTCGCGGATCCCAGCACTTCCTGCATTCTGTTCGTTCCTCTATCATTCGAACGCTTCGTTTATCGTTTCAGCTGCTGTTTGAGGACTTGGTCACCATCGTGAATATCGTAGAATGGTGGTCGAGTCAAATCTCCTTGCAATTTATAAGATAGCTGGGTTATGGCGTTCCCACGTGGACTGGAGCGGAGCGTTGGGACGAGGATCAAACCATCACCTTTGCTTCCTGATCAACGGCATCGCTAACGACTGCGCTATCTCTTGGCATAAGATCGTTCAATAAGGAAGTACTTGATACAAACGGTATATTGGCCGGGCAATAGACTTCTTTTCGTCATCAATTTTTCTTAGACCCTAGATCTTAATAAACCTGAATTTTTAAACCTTCCGTACGGTTTAGATAAGTGAAATTCCATATGGTGGTTCTTACAAAGCTACTAGAGTAAACTGAAAGCATCTTTACCACTCATGTTTTTATTCCTCGATCCGTATCGAACACGAACACGATTATACAGATGGCTACCAGGTGTTCAACCTGCTTCTCAGAGATGGATACCGAACTTGAAGAATAACCAAGCTTTGGACGCCTAACTGAGTTTTATTTCAGTGTTTTAACTTTGAAATGACTATGGATCCCTATCTTACAATAAGTAAGTTGGCCGTGAAGTAAGGGTGACCCATACCTAACCGAGCACAGACTCCACTAACTCGGCAAGGAGCTTGGAAGAGAGGTGGCTATATCTTTTCCAACAAAGCTCATCATCAGTACTCGGTGAAGGCTCCGATAACCAATGGTAAGCTGAATTGCAATAAGAAGAGGATTAGACTCCAGTACGGTGGTTAGTGCCCAGAAATGAGCTTTAACAGTTCCTTTTGTCTTTTCGAACCATGAGTTACAATTCAGGAGTGTGTAATCGAAATTAAAGATGGCTTCAGATTTAACCCTCAATATAAAGAGCGAAATCATGCTCTCAAATTCTGAAAGCCTTTCTGCTCCACATAAATATACTGCCACAACGTTGCTGAGGTATTTGCAAAACTCTGGACCGCAGATGTCTATGGTGGGGAACGAACGCGCTATTGTTCTTTCCGGGAAGTAACGCGTTCACCACCACACCATGCGGGCCCTTTGTTTCGCCTGTCTCTCAGCTATTTCTATCGATCTTTTTGCCACAGCAATCACCCGTCAGCGGGGTTGATCTCGGCAGCGCGTTCGTTCCCCACCATAGACACCTGCGGTCCAGAGTTTTGTAAATATCTCAGCAACGTTGTGGTTGTATTTCGTTTAGTGACCTGCCATGAAAATTATAGGAGGTAGAAAACAAAACGTTAAACATTGTGTTTTCAACTACAGCCATAGCTTAATTGTGTTCTATGCCGATTTGCGCACCCCAGATCAACCCCGTTGACGGGTGATTGCTGTGGCGAAAAGATCGATAGAAACAGCTGAGAGGCAGGCGAAACGAAGGATCCGCATGGTGTGGTGGTGAACGCGTTACTCCCCGGAAAGGATAATAGCGGGTTCATTCCCCACAATAGACACCTGCGGTCCAGAGCTTTGCAAATATCTCAGAAGCGTTGTGGTTGTATTTCGCTTAGTAATCTGCCATGAAGATAATAGAAGGCAGAAAACTAAACGTTTAACATTGTAAATATACTGCGTTTTTTTTATTATATGACCAGATTTCACATGTGGTCCCAATCATAGCACTTCTCTCTCTCGGTCTATTATATCGCATCTGCTATCCACGAAGGCCTGAACTTGTGTATGAAATCGACTTGTCTTGAACTATTCGAAAACTTTTTGCTTCTCTAGAAATATCATTGATTACTGATTCAGTCCATTCTCTCTGATATTTCCGGATCATTGGTTGAGGTAATCGCCGCGCTTTGCCCATCGAAGAGAGTTTTCCCAAACAACTCCGGTGCTATCATTCGTCGGACATTCTGGAAATGTTTCCTTACCTATATAATATTATAAATGCTTAAACTTTTTTTAGACAGTCATATTCAATGTTAACCTTTTACCTTCTTCCTATTACTAATTTCAAACGGAAGGGCATTATTTGAAATACAAGCACTTTGATGTTGAGATATTTGCAAAACTTGGACTCCAAGCCGGATTCAAACCCGCGTTTACCTTTTCCGGGCGTTCATGTATTACCTACGGCAGCACTTGAGGCCGAAACCTTGCTTTCTCCTAGTTATTCACCTCATGGTGCCATCAGCAATCACTCGTCAACGGGATCGATCGTAAGAGCACAAATCGGCATTGAACTCAGTTATGCCAAGGCTGTAATCGAAGTCGCGATGTTACGTTTTTATTTACTTCTTATTATTATTTTCCACGGCAATATACGTGTGAAATCCGACCACTGCGATGCTAAGATACTCGCAAAAGTTGGACTGCAAGCCAGATTATGTGATTACGAGTACACCCTCAGCTTAATTGGGTTGAATTTCGATTTGTGCTTTCTAGATCTGGTTGACGACACCACAACGTAGAAAATCTGCTGTGAGAAAGGCAAAACAAGGGCCTCAGTAGTGAAGTGGGTAACACGTGAGTCCTCGGAAAGGACAATTGAACCTTCTAATGGTCTAAGATTTTGCAAATAACTCAGCATCAGAGTAGTCGTAATCAGTATTTGTGATGACTGACGACTACCATCTTTCACAATGCTAAAGCCGTCTTGATAACAATGACATTTCAGTACAGCGAGAAAGAGATTAAACTTGAGTTCGAACAGGCTGAATGGGTGGATCTGTCCGAATATGCGCCGTCCTCCATTTGGGATGTGATCGACGCGCCCGCGTCGCTAGTGAATAAGAGGAGTCGGATTGAGTTTCAGGTCAGAATACGGTAGGTGATAAGAATTTTCATGGCATCTTTAGCAGGTGAAGGTTTGAAAATTTACGTTAGGCAGATTACACACTAGATGTATTTTTTAATAACAAACGTAAAACTCATGCATTATATTTAGGCGTAAAACGTTGTTCTACACAGTCGTCCTAATCATTCCAACGGTTATGATGGTATTTCTAAGCATGGCTGTCTTCTTTCTTCCAACTGACTCAGGCAAGTTGATGAAGAATTAGAATAGAAACGAGAAAGCACAACTTTACCGTAGTCTGAATCCGGAAACTCATCGTTAATTTGGAATCCATAGCGACGAATCCGACTTTTCCCATTCTTGAATTTCTCTGAAATCGAGAATTGATCACTAGGATGCTGTGAAATTTACAAAGCAGCTTCGAGCGACGATTTTCCTTTTCGGGGCTAGCGTGCTACACACTGCATCACTGATGCCCGCTTTGCCTTTTTCTCAGCTAGTTTTCTACCTGACGCCGCCATCAGCAATCATCCTTCAACGGGATTGATCTAGGAAGCATAAACCAGCACTGAACCCAGTTTAGATGAGGCTGTATTCGAAATCGCAATGTTAACCTTTTATTTGCTGCCTACTGCAATTTCTACTAATGGGGCGGATAGCAGAGTGATAGTGATGTCGGTCATCACTAGCACGGTACTAGTTCGATTCAGCTCAGGCCCAACCACGCCTCTCATCTATCCGGGGTCGGGAAAGTGGGACCGGACTTCTCCGGGAATGCACTCTAGCCCGGCTATCTCATGACTACAAGCAGAATCCACTCGACCACATTCTACAACAGTCAAGATGGTATGGAAACCTTCAAGCAGTAGCCGAAGCCACACGTAGAAAGTTGGAATATGTTCGTGGATGATGAATGAGAGGAAACGAATTGAATGTGAGAGGTGCTGAGATTCGTACAGTAGACGTGAAAATGGGCTTATAAAAAAATAATTGAGAGATAAAATCGCAGTAATTCGCAAAACTTGGAGAAAATAGAAACTAGCTAAGGAAAAGGTGAAGAATGTGCCTCAGTGGTACGGTGTGGAACGCGCGAGTTCCTGGAAAGGGTAATCGTGGTTTTAATCTGGCCTCTGGTCCAAGTTTTGTAAATATCTCAGCATCGCTGTGGTCGCATCTCACACCATAGCCTGCCGTGAAAATTATGGTAGCCAGCAAATAAAAGGTTAACATCGAGAAATGATCGGCGACAGCTACTTTGTTTCTTAAAACAGTTATTATAATTACAACGTTGCTGAGATATTTGCAAAACTCTGGACCGCAGGTGTCTATGGTGGGGAACGAACGCGCTATTATCCTTTCCGGGGAGTAACGCGTTCACCACCACACCATGCGGGTCCTTTGTTTCGCACGTCTCTCAGCTATTTCTATCGATCTTTTTGCCACAGCAATTACCCGTCAGCGGGGTTGATCTGGGGAGCGCAAATCGGCATAGAACCCAGTTAAGCTATGGCTGTAGTTGAAATCACAATGTTTAACGTTTTGTTTTCTGCCTTCTATAATTTTCATGGCAGGTTACTAAGCGAAATACAACCACAACGTTGCTGAGATATTTGCAAAACTCTGGACCGCAGGTGTCTATGGTGGGGAACGAACGCGCTATTATCCTTTCCGGGGAGTAACGCGTTCACCACCACACCATGCGGGTCCTTTGTTTCGCACGTCTCTCAGCTATTTCTATCGATCTTTTTGCCACAGCAATTACCCGTCAGCGGGGTTGATCTGGGGAGCGCAAATCGGCATAGAACCCAGTTAAGCTATGGCTGTAGTTGAAATCACAATGTTTAACGTTTTGTTTTCTGCCTTCTATAATTTTCATGGCAGGTTACTAAGCGAAATACAACCACAACGTTGCTGAGATATACAAAGGACCCGCATGGTGTGGTGGTGAACGCGTTACTCCCCGGAAAGGATAATAGCGCGTTCGTTCCCCACCATAGACACCTGCGATCCAGAGTTTTGCAAATATCTCTGCAACGTTGTGGTTGTATTTCGCTTAGTAACCTGCCATGAAAATTATAGAAGGCAGAAAACAAAACGTTAAACATAGTTATTATAATTGTCAGAAAAGAAAGATCTTACTTTTTTTGAGATAGAATGAAAACTGAAAAAAGAGAGGTTTAGGAGTACATTATACATATAAAAGAACTGCGGAAGACAGAGATTTGAGGAACAGCACAGAATTATTTGCAGGAGAAAAAATCACGCTGACAACCTACGTTCTGCTCTCTATCGTCGTATTCCTTCTACTGGTGTCAAAGATTCTTCCACCAACCTCTAGTACTATCCCACTCATGGCGAAGTGGGCAATCATATCAATATTGTGGCTAGCAAAAATTAACGACTATACAACTTCCTTACGTGATTAACCCTAAGCGATCTACGCGTCATAAAAACTTTTATTCGGCCAACGTTTCGGCGCCTTCTAATTCTTCAGAGCCGGATTGATCCAAGCCGATGGTCCACGACCGGTCAGAGAGAGATTTGCCATCGAGCGACTAGTTTGATATGGAGACGGTGGTAGGTCTTGGTATTGGTTTACTCTTAGCTGGGCTTCCTGGTGGAAACGCAGGGTTCCCGGCTTCGGAGACCCTGTCGGAAGGATGAATCTTCCCGCTGTACATCGCAGCCCGACGCCCAGGAATACCTCACAGTCACGACGACGCGGTAAACCTTTGGGAGGCGTGTTGGTATAACTACCAGAATTTGATATTTGCAGTTGAAAAAACGCGAAGGAATGCGATATACATAATCACTACCATACATTCTGAAGTATCAAGCAGTGGTGATGACGTAATCAAAGCGTGTTGTGTGGATTTCAGGCAGTTCTACAGAATCATGCAGAATACGGAAGGCAGAATATTAAGTTCATACCTCCTATAAGATTTTTATTAGCGACTACAACAAGAAAATTGAACTCAGAAAAACGTCTAACGATCATCACTTCCTATCCGAATCTAAGGATTAAGAAATGTTCGGAATGAGGATATCTATGAATTTGTTAAGATAACTAAAGCCATTCTCGATGACTCACAATTTGAGAAGCCGCTTTTTCGACTTTGGACTTGGGCAACCTTCGTTAGGAAGAACCATGATGAAATCGATCAAATCAACGTCGGTGGAAAGTTGTAACTAACTACTATAGCTGTATGGTGCTTGGTGTTTGATAAACACCGGACACACTCCATCTAGTAGATTCGCTTCAACGTCACTACTAAGAGGCACATCGCAAGAAATAAAAGCTGTTAGCCGTAGATTAGAATCACTGTAACCCGGAATAAAAGCTGTGAGTACATTTTTAAGAGTTTTAAATACACGGAGTAAAGTCTGACGGTCAGGAAACTCTGAGTTGATGCGCCAATGTGAAGCTGCAAGGAAGCGGACAGCTAGAAACGTAAGCCAGATTTTGCAAATTATAAAGAAAACCCTGTTTTCACATTTCGCCTGACAAAAGAGAACATCCTTGTTGGCTAGAAGACTGTCAGGTACGGTTGTCTGCGAAACGAAACCACACTTATCACCGACTATCGCTGGATTTGCTTTATGCTTGTCATCAACGCGCTGTTAATTTATTTCGTCATAAGCAGGATCACTATCAATTTAAAATTCTTTATCTCGCCTATCCACTTTAAGAACGCTTTTGAATCAGCTAAGACAAAGGCCATCACAGAAACCGTGGAGAACTAGGTCATCACAGATTAATATAAAAGGCCCTTTATAAGTTGTACCACCGCAGACAGGGCCCGATTAATCTACGAAAACCTATACGTCGACGTAGTAGGAATTATTCAGTGCCACCCTCCACATCATGCTTTCTTCGACCCTGATATCCCATGCTACCATCAACCACTAGCCAGGCCAAAAAAGCCTGAGATCGTATGTTTAAAATTCAAAATCTAAGCGTTACGGTGTTCATGGGAAATCCCACATTTGTTTACGTCACATTCACGCATCACTTGATGAAACCTTTGGATTAGCCGACATTGTATGCAAAGTGGTAGTTGCACATCGTATAAAGATTTTCCCGAAAATCAGGGATGAAAGCCATGGTGCCTTTTATGTCTCTGAAGTGGACAGGGCCCTCTGGAAAATTCTAACACGCGATCATAATTAATGTTGATTTTATTGGGATTCACTTGCGAGATGAGGTTATCGACGATAAAATAGTTCGCAAAGGATCTACAGGGTTCTTATGAACTGATCAGGTCTAGCTGATCCGAGGTTGGTACAAGTTGTCGTCGTTGTCATAGTTGTTGTTGTTGGTCGATTTCGTACGTTTCGGAGACTTAGCACTCCTCAGAGCCTTGTTGTTACGAGTGAGAAAATATTAGGAGATGTGTCTAAAGCGGAATAGTACACAATATTCAGGACACTGCAAAAATAATGAAATGTATTTTTTATCTAAAATAATAAGTACTTAAGTCCGACTAGTTCATAAGTGTTATGGGGAAAAGGTTTCTTTAATTTGTAAGCAAAAATCGTGTTTATAGATATCTTTTGCTTACATTTGTACTCAACGTCATAACAATCTTAGTTACCGTCATCATTATTAACATCTACTTCCGCAGTCCGAACACATACCGTATGCCGACATGGGTGCGGAAACTTTTCCTCGAGGTTGGCGCTGTTGATGACTTTTTCTGTGACGAATTTACTTCATTATCAACGTCATATCCTTTCTTAATTTTTAGTGGATGCCTTTTGTAATGTGTATGCAACGACCGAAATCGACTTCTCGAAAACATGCCAATAAGCGAAAAGGCGTCGCCCAGTTACCAGGGTTGGGGGCGTTCACTCTCAATCCGGCTACTCATCATCCGTTTTGTCCAAGTGCCGACGATAGGTAACCATAGCTACATACCAATTTAAAACATAAGTTTCAACTACATAATAACATTATTTTTATTATGTGGAACTTGGGCGTAATGTTGGGACGATGAAAACGAAAGTGCGTAATCCGAAGCAGCGGATCTCTTGCTCAAAAAAGAGTTTTTTGTCCAGTAATCCATCGGACGAGAATAATATAAAACTGAATCCCAAATCTCATCTGGGTACCTTCGTATTGTCCAAAAAAGCAAAACTGATATATCTTTCAGAGCTACATCCTCCAACATATTTGATGGCACCAGCGAAATTATTCAAGATCCAACCACGTCTGTGTACTACCCTTTGTCTGTACACGCATTGCAAGCTATTGATGCTATCGAATACATTGCCGAATACCTAAAACAAGATGAAGAGTACAAAATTGTAAGCAAATATTTTTCTAAGTGATACTATGGGACAACTCCTTGCCGCTCAACATTAGCTGAGCTCTTTATTGAGAAGCGATTGATATTGCTCCTCACTACAGAATAGATAATTTCTAGTATCGTGATGAGTGGAAATTTGTGGCCATGATTATCGATCGATTACTTTTGTACGTGTTCTTCGGTATCACCGCTGGTGGAGCATGTGGAATTCTATTCAGTGCACCGTACGTATTTCAAGGTAATCAGCCGGTGCTACAGATTAGAACAAAAATCTGGAATGGGATACTTAATTGCCGCTCTTTCGTTTTCCACAAGGCTACAGATAGGCAGGCGTATAGAGTGTAGCACCTTTTGTGCACTGTGGTTAGGAAGTGAAATAAGCGACCTTGATGATGTCCGTTGAACATTACCTTGAATTTTTAGGTGTTAATCAGCGTGAAGTACTTCAACGACTAATTGAATTATACAAGAGCCGAGGCATCGACAGATAACTACATAACGATGCGGGTACCAAGAACAATTGTATTTAACCGGTATTGTGTCTTTTATTAAGTAGATGTCTTTTGCAGATATTTTCTTGAGAATTTCCAGCGAATAAATCTAGCGTAATGGTTATGATTGTTAGTCAGCATTGCTGCAGACGTTCTCAACAACTTTCCCAACTCAGCTTAGAAGTCTTACAATAATACCACTTTCCTGAGAACCATCGGCAGAGATGATGTAAAAGAATGTTCGCTAGTAAAAACCTCTTAGAAATCCAAACACACGGCTGGCAGAGGATTGCCAGAGTATTGGAAAGCATAGAAGCATGGGAAGGGGAAAGGAACTACGCTTAATTTTTGATGAAACTCGGCTGCTTACCACTACCCACAATCCTCGGAGTCGCCTCTGCGACTGGTTACACGAAAATGAAATGATCGGTCCGTAATCCAGGGTGCAGCGACAAGCTAACTCCTGTTCAATAATAATTTTTATTGAAGCCTTGTTAGCGTAAAGCAGTCTGTCCAATTTTGATCACTTTCGGAGAGTGGTAAGTATAATTTTTGCTGCTAAAAGAACTGGGTGGTCCTGCTGCAATGCAGTAACGCTAAAATACAGATATCAATGGCTCACAACTTTTTTAAATGGAAATCTGATTTCAATGCTGACGCAACTCTGTTTCTTCAAACAAAGATGTTACAGAGCGCTTACCAGAAGCAACTTCTATTGCTTTCACATCCGCATGCCTCTCATGGTGTGCTATTCGTGTAGATGGGAACACTAAAACTGGTGTTTCTAAGTTACACAGATGTCAGCTGCGTCAAAAATTTTGAGGCTTGTATAATGGCTTACGGTTCACCACATACGCAAGTAAATGACACGTTGGGAATGACGAAATTTTCTTGTCTGTGGTTACTGTTTTTCCCGTAACCGCCGTCAGCACTCTCCCTCTTAGGATCGCATATGTACTGTGGATATCCGAGCTCAGACATTCTTGCATTCGCAATTTGGAAGTGTACTCTACTCCTGTCTACCATATCAATAATATCATTTTTATCTTGTTAGAAATGAAGTCAAATATGCTGTCCGTTAACCTCACTCATGAAGTTAAAAGCTATTGTATGGATGAATGGTGGTGCTATTCTGGTGCTTTAATGTACATTGCCAGTCGTAACGAAATGCGATACACACAAGCATAGACTGCTGCTAACTGATCCGCTGTAAACGGATGGCACTAGGTTATGACTGTAATTACATGACATACCTGTGCTCCACCAAATTTGCAACTCCTAAAAAATGCAGAGTGCAACGGTGATAAGCTTACAAATTCCAAAATCCTTTCGATGAACCACTACTCGAATCTGTGCTCTCGACTTACCCTGCCTGTCACTTTTCGTTCCGTTGACAGTCGAGTGTCTCGAGCGGGCACCATTAAATCTTCCAACTTTCCTTGTCGCGTGCAGGAATGACCCACTTTGTTCTGCTCGCTAGACACTCGGTGAGCATCATGTCTTTTTTCTAAAGTTTTTATGAAGAACTCTGGCCATCAGGTCGGTGGCCTTTCTGCAGTACGTCTGACATCCCGCGGAAGTAAGTCGCTAACTGCTCATGCAAACCATTTGTCGCTCACACACATTACGTGTCCGACTCATCTTATCTTTGGCAGTTTAGCGTATAGAGCGACATCTTTGATTTTTAACCGTTGACAAGGTCGGAGTTTCGGATCCGTTCCCTTATCGTGTGACACGGGTACCCCTATCATCGTCCTTTCGACTGCGCGTTCAATTGCACTGAGTGATCTTTCATCCTGCTTGCACATCGACCAGGTTTTTGACACAACCTTTAAGGCAGGAAGAATCGTGGAGTCGAAAGATGAGCACGAAGTCGAGTGTTCTTTTTTTTCTTCATTACATCCTCGATGCTCTTGAAAGCTTCTCAAACCGCTCGTTTCCTTCTGCTCAACTCTGGAGCTAAGTCGTTCATCATATTGATTTTCCGACCTAAATATATATACCTGGAGCATTTGGTTATATTCGTTCCGTTGAACGTGAATGGGACATCCGAAACCAATGCGTCCCTCATGAACATCGTTTTTGTGAGATTTATTCGAAGACCAAGCCTTCCACAGGCTTCATCAAAGTCAGCATTCGTTTCGCTGGTTAATGTTTGGTATTATAAGGACGAAATCATCTTCAAAGCGAAGATGGTGTAATTGCCGACCGTCGATTTTCACTCTCGTATTGCTCCATTTCAATGTTCCCATGATGTTCTCGAGAGTGGCGGTAAATAATTTTGGCGACATGGCATCGCCTTGCATAACACCTCTTTTGACGTCAATGTTAATATCGCTGTAGAATTGTGATATCTTCATTGTAAAATTTTTAAACAGCTCACCAAGCAAATTGGTATACTGAGTAGGGACTTCCTCACTGCTCAGGGCTTCCATGACTGCTTATACCTTAGCTGAGTCGAAAGCATTCTTTCAATCGATTAAAGTGAGACAGAGAGATCCTTTGTACTCTCGCGTTACTTCAGTGAGACTGGTTATTGTGTGGATGCGGTCCATCGCACTAAATACTTTTCGAAACCCCGCTTGTCATATGCCTGCCCTTCGTCCAGTGTTCTGACAATTGTGTTTAGGATGACTCAAGCGAAAAGTTTGTATACGGCAGACAGCAAACAGATTGGGCGATGCAACCTGCAACAGCCAAGTCAGTTAGGTAAAACCTACAATTAAATGTGATTTGGTCTATTTCGTTGTGATACTCTCCACTTCGGGATTTCCACACCCAACATTCAGACTGAGGCTTCCGGAACTGCGTGTTACCACGAATCTCGTCTTGGTCAACTTGATAAACTCGGAAAGCCGCTCACCCTGCTCGTTTCATTCTAATCCGTGTGTCCCAATGTGACGTTCTGCAGACGTTCCTCTGGGTCCAATCTTAGCATTAAAATCTCGAAAGGTAACCTTGAAGAATGCATGGTCTCCTCTGCAAAACTTCTCCAAGTCCATATAGAACGCTTCGACTTCTTCTTCGTCATAGTTTCATGGCGGCGCGTAAACGACGAAAATTGTCAAAGCCGGTATTGATGAGCATCTTTTTAATCGTAAACATCTGATTCGAGTACTTTATTGTTCGAATGAATCGAAGTACATGGACAAGCTCATGTTGACGAGAACGCCGACGCCGCCGACTCTTCTACCGTCGCATGTTCCGAGGAACAGTTCTTTTGCGGTGTTATAGACGGCGTTGAATGGGTGGAGTCTTCTCGCCTTGGCCAGACCAATGACATTGTACATTATGCTTCCTGCTTGCACAATGAAGTCTTCTATCGAGGACTGAGATGCAAGTGTGCGCGCACTGTAGGTACAAATCGTCACCTTAGTCTTTTGTGATTTAGCCAGCTTAGAATGGCCTTGAGATGTTAGCAGCCTCTCCGTACCCGTCTCACCTAACGCTGCCGAATCGGGCGCTCTTCTGGATCGGAGGAATGACGTCTATTTCTTTCACTGTGCTTAGCTTTTTAATATCCACGAATAGCTTGCTGAGCTCTGAACGTGGGTATACTCATAAGTAGCTTTCCAGCCTCTCTCAGAGTGAGCATGAAGCTTGTTTGTCGAAGGAAACTTCTAACGCCTCCCATATACTTCCCTGTTACCTACTTGCAGTCTTTTTGCCGAATTTCCTCGTAGAATACAATCCCCATTAGCAAGAACACACCCGCCTAGGAGTGCATGAATACGCCCTCGTAATTGCAGAAAGTATATGCCATATCGGCGCAGCAGGAACACGGAGTCCATCCCCTGGATCTAACTGCGTCTCATGGGATCAAAAGTCTCTTCTTGGTCAGCGATTATCCCCTATCCGCCACCTGGGGACGCGCCGCGTAGCCTCGCGACTAATCGGCGTGAGATCCCTCTGTGAGGGAGATCCTTGGTGTTCATGAATTGGTTTATTATTTCGTTTTAGACAAATGTGGTATAGTGATGTTTTCTAGAATGTCTCTTAGTTTACAAACGGTATTTTGTTTTGAGTCCAGTAAAATGTTTCGTATTATCTTCATCTCAATGCAGAAGAAGTTTGTCTAGCATGTGAAAGTCTTATTGTCGCAGCATAACCTCCTCGTCGAATCGTTTTAATTCAATTGGCACTTCGTAATATGAAGTTTTTGAATATGTAGCCTGTGAAGTTGAAGGCCTGTGAAGGTCTTCCTCGTTCTTTGGCGATAGAAGATTAAAAAGAAGATTGCTCTAATAAAAGACTATTTTTCCGACAACTAAACAACTTGAGTGGTTGTGAACAGACTGTAGAAGATTGTAGAACAGACTTTACTATATCGTTTTGTGTGGCTGAAAATGGCATGTATTTTAAGATTTACTGTACATTAGTATGGTCTGTTACACAAACACGTTCTTTTCAGCATTTGGAGTGTTTTCAATTATATAGGGTCTTTTTAGATAATTTATATACACACCTATTCTCTGTAATAGCTGTCGTTCATCATAAAAGGATAAAAGGATAAAGCTGTCGACGTTGATCAATCCTCGAGCGATGCGCCATGCATTCAACTTCACTAAGCATCGTTTGGAGGTGACTGAATGCATATCTGGCCTTTACAATGACTCGTGATGGACTGCCGATGTATCGAGCTAGTGCTGCTATCCTCACAGACAAGTCTGGTACCAATTTGTCGACCCCGGAGGGAAGGAAGGCTTGGTGGGCCATGATCGTGTGTGTTGCAGGGCTCCTCCAACCACTTCCCACACCTACGCTGTCGTTCAACATAGCGCTCGAAAACGGAGTAACAATGAGTCGCCATTCAAATTACTGTTCCATGAGCTCATCCAAAGAAAAGGTTTTTGT